AGTGTATCAGTGTAGCAGATGTGAAAGCCAGAAGGTTGCTGTTTGCAGACGACCTTGTTTTATTGCCAACTTCCGAAGCTGATCTACAGTGGTATAGAAAGGTTAGCAGCGAAGCGTGACGTGGCTGCCATGCATGTGAACTCATCTAATACGAAAAGCCTAGTGCTTCCTCATTCTCCTGCCCATTACTCTCTTCAGATTGACAGATAAGCAGTGGTGCAGGTTGAGAAGTTAAAGTACCTCAGGGTGACGTTTGCTGGTGATGGAAAATTTTAGGAAGAGATCGATCCGCGGATGTGGGTAGCCAGTAGCGTTCTGCGTGAAGTAATCCGATCCATCATGACTAAAACAGAGCTGTCTGAAAACTAAAGTCTCGGTGTTCAAGTCGATTTTTATCCCCATGCCTACTGTCATGAGTCGTGGACCATGATTGAAAAGGTTCGAGGCCAGGTGCAAGCTACTGAAATGGGCTTTTTGAGACGAATCGCCGGTCGGACACATCCGAATATTGTCCAGAAGTCAGATATACGATAGAACTTTGGTGTTTAGTCGCTGTTTATGCAAACTGAAAATCCGCGATCGTTTGAACACATGTTACAACTGCTTTCAGAAGGGAAAGCAAAACAGCTACTTCTCGGTCCATCGGTCGAATGATCGCTCCGGCGGGAACAACCAAGAATAACTTGGAGAACGTATCTCTGTGCTCTAGACTTGGGTTACGTTCTAACGAAGCTCTAACGCTGGCATAGGATTGGTTCCGTTGGAGACACTAGCTAGGGCATCTGCCTCCACTTCCCAAAAGGGGCTCATCGAAAATGAGTGATAAGCAAACAGATAAATCGAACTATTGACAAAACGGATTGCGAAACTTAATCAAATTTAATTTAATGATCTTATCCATCCTATCCGCGTACAGACTGTATTCGCCGGAACATCTACAGATGAAGTAAACTTCTGGTTTATCAGGAAAAGCACAGAAGAATGACCCTTTCTACGGATTATCTTTGACATTAAATCCTTAGATTTTGTTTAGCAACAGCAGAATACCGTCGGCACTGACGCTTTTCTAACAAAATATTACTGTTTAGCCGTAATGAAAGCAAATTTACCCCTGCTATATGATTTTATAGTTATATAAGCCGACAACACATCACATAACACTTCAGAATGGTTAACAGTTGTACGAACACCATCGTTCATATGCACAGAAGGTATGGATTCGTCGCCTATTCGAATAGCTGTGAATAGTCTTCACTTTCCGATTCAGACTCAAAGCAACAATTTCAAAGGACGATGGAATTATCATTTTCAGGAATGAGGGATTTTGCACAGTAAAGTATCTACAGTGTATACAGCATAAAATGTATATAGTATTCATAGTATACTAATTATTGCCATGGGCCTTGAGATCGGGAAGCGAAGACCAATAATTGTATCCATGTATATTCAAAATCCGTGATCAAACGTCAAGAAAAGAGACGTTTCTAGCATATGCGTGCTTACTGATGATCTGATCTGATCTGATCTGATCGAAGGAACGTTTCTGAAGACTGCACTGCTCGAATGGTACCAATGACACAGATGCATATTTTCGAGAATATTCCGGAAAACGCGCATAACGTACAAAACAAATTTATGTATTAATAAAAACTGAAACTGAAACATCGACATGCAGTTCAACATCAAATTAACAAGCTTATCAGACGGTATAATAACAGGCTTAACTAATAACATCTGTGACAGTGCACTCTTCAACTTCTTCGGTGCCATTATTAGATGTAGTCGAAGACAGTTTCCTTCGCTTACTGGCAGGTTCGTTAGAGTCTAAAGCAAAAACTGCATTTTCAGTTTGAAATAAAAAACACAACAAAAAAAGGAAAGTTTGTAACCGTTGGAAGGTCGGTCTTCCTTACACTTCCACGATGGGGCCGTTTATAGCGCCATTCTACTCATGAAACTAATTCATTCACGATGTGGCGCTGAACACCATATCCATGTCATCAGCCAGGAGTGGCTTAGTCTAAAGGCAAAGCCTACAGCGGTACGGCATGACGTTTAATTCCTGTTTCCTTCCGACAGAACGGCATTCATTTAACAACCTCGTAAGAAAGAAAGGCGAGTGACCCAAAACCGGGCATCAAACCTGGCTCCTTTCGGTTCTGCGCCTGACGCCCTACCCACACGACTGCGCTATCACGGCAGTATCAGAAATCAAATAAACACACAGCTATATAAGATGAAGCATTCTTAAAATCATAAAGCCTTAAATCAGCAGGTTTCGCAGTCGCATGGGATAAAATTGGGTTGGGGAAAAATATGACGAAAACTTGTGATAAGTGACAAATACTAATGTCAAAGAACTCCTCTAAGCAGACAAAGCATACAACAGACAAAGGTATATCGCAATGATCCGAACCCACTAAAAAGTAAACAAAAAAAGAAGAAAAATGGTAAGGAACTCCTGGACGTGGCTAACCTCCCCACCGTAATGGGATCTGCAGGATATTTTCAGTCAAAGCCTACACTACCAACCCCGTTAAATATTTCTCATAAATACGCACTTATACGCAGCTATAACGACAAATGCTTCGTTCATCACATCTGTAAACGATTGCAAGTAAACTGAGATAGAGAACTATTTAGAGTATACACATTGTCTTCAACAATAAATGAGCATAAACCATCGACCTCTCGCAAAAATGACGGATTGTGAATCCAATTCTGACTAAACAAGGCTGCAGCGTTGATCTGCTGCAACCCTGAAAACTAAAGTCTAGTCAGAAACATAAATGCTGGAATATAAATCAGAAAACAAGGAAACAAATTACACACGAACTAGTGCACCAACAATATAACTGATATAACATATACTCGGCTACGATCTACGTAATGCAAAACAACCAGTGTGTTGGACGACATTCCACTATCGACGCCTTGATCCATATTTTGTCAGCTATCTTCATGGTAAGACAGGTTACTTTTGGTTGCTACTGATACTGTGGTATGCAGATTACGAGCGACTTCGAGTTGTATGCTATTATATCGATAGCGAACTCATTACGTAATCTAAAAATCTGAAAATTTCTATTTAACGTTGTTAAATCAGGTTTCTCACTCATATGCTAAATTTGGAGAAAAAATGATAATATTCTAAAGTACTGCAACCATTGCAAATATACCTTCTTCTCTTCATCATCTCAAGTGCAAAACATTTTGGATATCATAGAACATGCTCCTTTACTCTCCTTCCAAATAGTCAAAATATTTGCATCACCAGCAAAAAAAATCTGACTGAAGAGGCACGCAAATGGGAGAAATAAATCATCCAGTCCTGCAACAGCATGGACTGATTGAGCCTCGCTGCAGATGCTACAAAGACCCTAATACCGTAAAGCAGTGTATTACCATCCGGCAAACACCTCTGCAACTGTGACAGATATTGATACTGGTCGACTTCATCTACCGATTGACTTCTCTATTTCAGCTGAAAATGCGTTTGGCGGATAACTCACATGACTCTGGACTTTCTGATATTAAAAATGAGAGTTCGCAGCTGTACCGCGGACGGCCGCCATTATTAATGATGCACGCTTCTCTTACATTTCATCAGGACAGTATCATCGGTGACCAGAGTCAATAAGATATTTGGCCAGATTTAAGGTGTGAGCCCTTTAAATCGCTGCAGACGATAACAACCAAATGCCAAACACCTTATCTATAAAATTATGATATGACTCGCAATGACAGTACTGTTTTATCCTATAATAAAAATTTTCTTGTTTTAAACCATGAACAAACGGTTTATGCGAAAACATAATTTTCCACATGCCTAATCAAAAACACGTTTATTACACCGAGTAAAAATATCGAAAATTTGCCTAATGTTTGAAATTACATCCATTTATTCTCAAAACCACATTATAAGCGCATAGATTCAGTGTTCTGGCCTCTGAGGATAGGTGGAGTGTCATCCGAAAGGTCTGGCAAACTTCAACTGTGATTATGCTCATGGAGAAACATTTTTTACCTAAAACATATTATTGCTGTTTTCACATTGAACAAGAAACACCGTTTTTGGAGCGTGAACGTTACGTGTTAATTATATACATACGTTTCTACCTATCACATTTTATTTTGTTGTCAAACGCCCCTTCGGCAGCTATGCTCGATTCTTTTCTGCCTCATGGAGACAGAATTTGTACTGTTAGTCAAATAACGGTCTTCATCACAAATTTCAAACAGTTGCTATTAAAGTGTAAAAGAAAATGCTGCTACAAACCGCTACTTTTGCACGAAGACTTTCCATGAGATTTCTGATTGTGCATAGGAACACATTTTGGAATTTCGAGATGGTATCCGGTCATTTCACACCACCCGACGGGAAAAATGTCTGACGACTGATAGTCCGTCCATTGGTCATACGATTCGTCCCAGCCGTCAAAGCGAATCTTGAGCAGCCGACCTTTAATCTACGAAACGGAAACAATGGAAGCAACACAGCATGAGACAGCTGAATATTCAAGCGTATAAGTTCAACATTATGCCAAACAAGCTAGTTACGACAAGCATAAACAAAATTCAATAATACTTGAGGATAGCAGAGCCTAATCTTGAGAAATTCAAATCAGTTCCCTCTTAACATATCAACAAAATCAACATTTACAGATATGAAGAAAATCGAAGGACTCTATTTAAGGCAAAATTTCCTTCAAAGACTACTGAATCTATTATTACGGGAAAAAACAAACGGAAAGGAAAAAGTACTGTTAGACATGTAAGGTAGTTTCAGAGAGTGTAGAAAGGCTGCATATTTCTCAAAGAGGCCAGCTGAATTCTATACGCGGGAGGAAGGTTCTTCATCGCCAAAATTTTCGAAAGGTTTACAACACATATAAAACTTGTCACAAAGATTCACGACTTTTTGGATAGAGTTGGATCCATCATCAGGGACATTATGCAACAACGGGAAAAATCAGTGTCAACCCTCCTGATGCCCAATGCAGCAGTTATCTGAAACGTTGACCGCTAAAGTCTGTCGATTTTTGTTTGTGCTTATACTGTCCGAATTTGCAAGTTCGTCTAAATTCGTGACTGAACGCAAAGTTTGTTAATCTAATTCTGCCAGAATGCCTCAAAATAAATTAAGATAATATGTACTGCTCAAAAAACAGGTAGGAAAAATTTTAATCTTTGTTTTATACCACCAGTTTATGGATGAATGAACGCATGAGTGAAAGTTTGTTGCTAGAATGGAATCTCCAAAGAATATAAAATCAGTGTATCACTGCATATAACACAAAAATTGCACTTTCATCCTTAGAATTAATGAAAAGAATCAGAAAACAAAAAACAGCAAGTGAAACCAGTACAGAACCATGAAGCAAAGTTTATAGAGACAAACAGGAAAAAAGATTATGCCAGACTGCGCAGATTCAGTCATTGTTACTTAACGTCAATGGAACTTCACAGAACGAGCAGTGAGGCTGGAATTTTAGATTTTCGATGCCGTTCCGCAGTAACAAAAACTTTAACATATTTAGATCTAGTCGATGAGATTGGAGACAGACGCTGCGACAGTGTAATGCAGTGGATAAATGCTACTCTCAAGAATTCTCGTACCCATACGGGTGCCATGGGAGACCGCTAAATCAGCCAGACGCCTCAATGGATTACTGTGCGAAAGGCTGCTTATTTTCGAGACATTTCTCAGAGGAAGCCGTAGCGTAGCGCCTTGAAATCCGATGTCCGTAAGCCTGGAAACTTTATTCCTGACGCATATGCAGAAAGTGGCAGGATACATGTAAAGGCCGACTTTCTAACAGTACTCTATTGTGCGTGAATGTTTCTCAGAGGTATTACATAAAATGAAGCCCTGCAACATCTGAAGATTGTACGCATTTGAGCAAGATAAGGTCAAATGACAGAGTGGCACCAAAGTATCTGACATTCGGACATGATGCAACATGGTTTCACTGCCTTCGTCGTTGCAGGGGTAACTGCAGAGGCTGGAATTGCAATATTATTCACTCAAAGAGGGAAAGAAAAATTCAAAAATTCGATACACACACAGACATTCCTCA